AGTGAAATGCAGACATATTATTTGGATTGTTGAGGTTGTTGCTGGGCAGATGCTGTTGAGCTGTGTTGTGTGTTTCCACGGAGGTTGCGCGCAGGGGGGTGCAGCAGTGTTTTTTTGTTGGTATGTAAGGATATTTTAGTTACTTTAATTAGCGGCCACCAACCGTGAGAGCAGGCGCGCGGCGGGTAGTTATTCGTGAGGGGGGGGGGGGGGGGGGGGGGGGGGGGGGGGCTGCTCTAGCCAACGGAAGTGCCTGATAAGCTAAAGCCCCAAACGTACTTCCGCTTGTGTAACCCAACCAACCATCAAAATCAATCTCTGTCTCACTTATATGCTCACAAAAAACTAAACATTTGTGTCATAAATTAACTTGTTTTCCCTCTTATCTTTCTATTGCTTTCTGCTCATTAGCTAGATTAACTTTTTCTATCTCTTTTCTCTCTCTCGCTCTTGTCTTTTAGCTGTGCTGATGGCTGAGTTTGCCAAGTTGATTACATGTCTGTTTCTGGTGTTCAACGAGGAGGGCAAGGATGCACAGAAATTTGTACGCTCGCTGCACAAGACAATCATTGCCAATCCCGTGGATACGCTCAAGGTGTGCGTCCCCTCGCTGGTGTATATTGTGCAGAATAATTTGCTGTATGTGTCGGCCTCGCATCTGGATGCGGCCACCTATCAGGTCACATACCAGCTAAAGATTCTCACCACGGCCATGTTCGCTGTGGTCATACTACGCCGCAAGCTCCTCACCACACAATGGGGCGCTTTGCTGCTGCTGGTCATGGGCATTGTCTTGGTGCAACTCGCGCAGACGGTCACGGGCGGCGGCAGTAGTGACTCCACATCGTCAGCTGGCGGGAACGATGCGGCATCGTCCTCAAGCTCGGGACCCGAACAGAATCGCATGCTGGGCCTGTGGGCCGCCTTGGGCGCTTGCTTTCTGTCCGGCTTTGCTGGCATTTACTTCGAAAAGATACTCAAGGGCGCCGAGATCTCCGTGTGGATGCGCAACGTGCAGCTCAGTCTGCTGAGCATACCATTTGGCCTGCTCACGTGCTTTGTGAACGATGGCAGTCGCATTTTTGAGCATGGCTTCTTCCATGGCTACGATTTCTTTGTGTGGTATCTGGTGCTGCTGCAGGCCGGCGGTGGCCTCATTGTCGCCGTTGTTGTTAAATATGCGGACAACATTCTCAAAGGCTTTGCCACCTCACTGGCCATCATCATCTCCTGCGTGGCCTCCATCTACATCTTTGACTTTAATCTCACGTTGCAGTTTAGCTTTGGCGCTGCCCTGGTCATTGCCTCCATCTTTATGTACGGCTACGATCCGTCCGCACGCTCCGGGCCCAAGACCACAGCCCAGACGGCCTCCGACGAGGAGAAGCTACTGCCGCGCGTCTAAAAAAGCGAGAAGCCTCAGCCACCTCAGACCGTCTGTCAACAGTATTTGTCCCCAAGAAGACCCGTTCCCACCCTGCAATGGTTACATTTGATGTACTTTATTCCCCTAATCCTTCCCCCCACTGTGTGTGTGTGTTGTGTGTGCGTGTGTGTGTGTGCTTGTTAACCTCCTCACAATTATGTAACATAATCATTTTGTTTGAATTTAAAATAAACAACAAAAAAACCACTCAAGAAATTCGTTTTTTTCCTTTCTTTCTTTATTTCTTTGAACGATCTTTGGTGCAACTATTCTATGTGTTTTGGGTGTACGTGTGTGTGTGTGGGGGTTTGTAAATCATAAATGTTTGTTTATATTTTTTGTTGTTACTTTTCTGTTGTGCTTCTTCTTTTTTATAACTTTCTCTCTATTAATTTTCTTCTTTCGATTTTTTTTAACATTTCTTTTCTTTGTTTGAATATTAATTTCATTTAAAATTGCTTCAGGATTCATTGTAAAATTGTTTTCAGAATTCGCGGAGTGTGTTACATTTTTTCTTCTTTATGATTTCCAAATCTTTTCTCAAATTAAAATTTAAATTAGTTCTTTAGTTTCTTTTTGTTTTTCTAAAGACTTCTTCTGCTTTCAGTACAGTTCAGTTTTAATTATTCTTTCTTTATGTTTGTTTAGTTACCAAAAAAACATCTTTAAGTACCAAAAAAATTCCTAAATCGCGCACTAAATTTAATTTGAGAAATTCTTAAAAATGTATAAATAATTCTCAACTTGTTATACAACATTTGTTTTTTTCTGTATTTCAATTTAAATTAAAATTCAGTTGGCTTCCA